GTCTAATTTACTTATTAATTTCCCCCCAGGTATTCTCCTATTGACTTCACTCTCCAAATAAGAGCCACAAGGCAATTCACAAGGAGATAATTTTAAAATCTCTTTTAAGTCATAACATTTGGCTCTCAGTGTGGATACTTTTTCATGATGCCCACAGGAAACTGAGCAACATAGTAAGAAAATCAGGAGACAGAGGACATTTGAAATCCTATTTTGCAAAAGGCAACTGAAAAAAGTTGGCTGTGCTTTTCTTGTAGAAGAGAAGAACAATGAGAGAGATTGACGTGACATTCAGATTGTTCAAAAAATATGTTATACTATTGGGAAGAGGCTTCCATGTATAATAAAGAACATGACTCCATTTTTTGCTCTTTGATTACTGACAGCTTTTAATACTCATCTTTTCTTCTGCTGTTCACATCTGCACAAGCTATTTTTTAGAAGTTCAGGTGATCCCTTCTTTGGCGCAAGGAGGAAGTTTAAACCACAAAGCCCTGACCTATTCCTGGGAACCCTCATCCTTACTCCATGCCCTTACCACCATAAAAACCTCAAGCCAGTGTACTTTCCCTGCTCTCTCAAGCCATTTTCGGATCTGCTCAGTAACCACCTGCCCTCCACAGAAAGCCCCATATGTAAATAATAAACCTGTTCATATTCTATCGAGATGTGTGTGGCACCACTAATACCAATGTCTAAACCAAATTGGGGTTGAGAGGTCCATCCTGCCTCTGTGAGGTGACCACAATGTAATACTCCAAAAGGAAAGAATTTAGCAGGGATCAAAAAGCAGAAGTTACAAGGAAAAACGTTTCTGCACAACATGTGAAATAAACTTTCAACAGTTAGTTATCCGGTGACAAAATGGGCTACCCCAAGCGTATGAGGTCTCCACAGTTAGGTGGGATGGAGCAGAGCCTGGGTGGTCATAACTCAGGAGGCTGAGGAAGGCCATATTCACTGTAAGAAAAGTCGAGCCAGTTAATGATAAGTTCTGCTAGAAATACAAATTAAGTGGACAAAGTCATTTCCCAGGTAACATGTATCAAAACCCAATATTCACTGATTTACTAATTCCATTTCCAATATTTTATTCTAAGAAAGTAGTCAGAGATATTCAATCATTGATACGGATTGCATTTTTTAAAATATTATTAGCAACAAGGAATTGAAAACAGTCTATCTAGCCAAAAGTAAAAGATGCTTAAATAAATTATGATATATTCAAAATAAAGGAATACTGTACTAATCTGTTAATAATTTTCTTGAGAAACATTTAAAAATTAAACATGTGAAAAAATTTATTTAATATATTAAATTTAAACATAAGGTTAGAAAACATTCTATGTAATATAAGCCTTGTGTTATCACTTCTGCCAGGTCTCCAACCCATTCCTAGGACATAGGTACCAAAAGTCTAAATGATGTTCAGTGATGCTCTGCTGCAATTTCCAGAGACTTATTCTGTGGAAGAATCCAGAATCATACAAATATTTGTAAAAATTGAATTTTTATATTAATAGCAACAAGAAAGCAAAGGGAGCAACCTATGTGGACAACCATATAATATTGGTCAAAAAAAAGCAAGGGCAATTCAGTACTTCATTTAATTCACCATTTAATATAGTGTTAGTAAGCTAATTATGTGCTTGAAAGATATTTAAATGTTGAGGTTAAAAACCACAAAGGTCTTATGATCCTGTTCTTGCTCCTTCCCTGCCAAATCTCCTACCCACCCCTTTCTCTTCTACCCTCTCCCAGGTCTGCACATGTACCCACACATATACACACTGAGCAGATTTGTGCTACTGTAGCTCCCTCCCTTCACACCGTCGGGTGACCTGTAATACAGTCTTGTACGCTGAGAAGGATTTGGCACGAATTCTACCAGTGAACCATCACTTTTTGTTTCTTTGTTTTATTAAGGTATCACAGACAGCCCTGTATAAGTTTCAGGCGCACAGCATAACGCCTTGACATATACATGTTGCAAAATATTTTCAATGTTTCTCAAGAAGTTACTAGAGAAGGCAGTTTTTTCAACTTACTGTCACCAAAACTACTAGCAGATTACCAAAATCCATGTTCTCTTCTTTACCCTGTGCACACCAACAACCGCATTTCTCAGCTGTTCTTCCAGTTAAGAGTGGGCCTGTGACTGAGTTACAGCCCATGGAATATGAAAGAAGTTGTGTGCCACAGCCATGCCTGGCCTACTCAAGGACTATTTGCTCTTGTCCTGGTTCTTTCCTCCACCCACTACCATTCAAAGAGATGAGCTGTGGGTGCCACTGGAAGCTGTACATTGAAGATACCAAAGACCCTATAAACTTGGTGCCTGATAAGATTGTTACGCCAACCACTTCACCTCTTCTTACTGTTCTGTGAGC